TCTTTGTACAGAGAAATGTTAAAGTACCTAGAGTCAACCCTTTGTTCCATACATCAGAATCTTGAGGGAAAGAAATTGGATAAATGCATTGGAAGCTAAAAGCTGAATAGTGTCTTTGTAACAAACCACATTATTTCCAACCAGTGCACTTATTTCCCCAAATCTACATTCAACACTATACTAAGATAAGTCATTCATGATGAAACTAGGGAATTAAATGACAATGAAAATCATCAAAACTAAAGAGTAAAGAGACTGCTATATTTTTACAGGCACTCAAAGAAACAAATCATTCACACTAAAATTAGGAGATTCACAAGAAATTATTCCAAAGAATTTATTAACTATTGGATGAATAGCTTATTGACAAAGCCCAGACACTTGGAAGATCAAAGGCATGATGAAGATAGGGACAACAATATAAATCCACAAATTTAGGTTTAGATTTCAGCTTCCAATTAAAATTGGACTAAATTAGAAAATTTTAATTTCAGATAGGCTAGGCATGTGTACCTCTCATAGCCTTTTCCTGTCTGTGTCAAACTCACTTCAGCACTAATATATGGCATATCACCTGAAATTGCTGCAGAATTAAGTAAGGCCAGCTGCTCAGTTAATTGCCCATTTTCTTGAAAAGTGAAAATATAACAACTTCTCTCAGCAATTGGTTAATTGATTTTTTTGACATCAGTAGAAAGAATCAGATCTTGCAATGTAGAGAAAATTCAAATGAAACTTTGAGTGCAACTTTGCCAAAATTTAGCTATTCATCAGCTTTGGTCCTCCGTTCATCATTGAAATAAGAAGTAAAGAAACAGTCTCCCCCCATCACTGATCATTGTTAACACACGAGTTGAAATCACAAGATATGTAGACTTTAAGCATGAGAACATGCATGAAGTAGCTAAAAAGAACAATAGTTGGAATGTACCCACCCCAAATTCCATGAATCTTTTCCAAGAACCCTGGCAAGCTATGCCCAAGTCAGCTTCAATCCCTTTCATGAAACATGGATGATTCATTGATTCCTGTTTGCAACCACTTGTATATATACCCCAAAACCTTTAAGCACGCA